GCCACTCGGCCGGCCCCTAGAATTTTTCATTTTTAACTTTGTCTATAACTCTACAGAACTTGGCCTCAGTTGAGTAACTTGACTTCTTATCCCCCTTCCTCCCTTTTTGAAATTCCCAATTGTACCTGGGAAAAAGCACTTAGTATAGCAGTATTACATAAAAGTGATCAAGTTTAGTGAAAATTACACATAAATATTTTCAGAAGTTAAAGAAACAGCTTCATGTCTCAAGTGAATTCAAGTCTGTGGGGTTTGATGACTGCATCATGGCATCCATCCTGATAATTGGGAATGTGCTGCCAATGGGAAATACGAGAATATACCCTGGAATAAAAAAATGGAGCCCACAAGCTATGGGCTGTGAGTATAATATAGATTTAGGAAAAGATTTCAATGATGTAGGGTACTTGGTTCAAAATTTTGTCAATGACTTAGATGATGTGAAGCTGACAATTACAGTAAATTGCAAATATGTCATGATTCATAATGATCTTTCCAGAATTTGAAGGCTGGACCAAATTATACAAGATTTTGGTAATATGTAAGCACCTGGCCTCAAAAAACCAATTGAATGTTCAGCTTGGACAAAGCATGGCTAAAACATATGTGAAAAACCCTTTGGGATTTTAGTTGACCTAATAACAACAAAATGTCTACAATTAGCTGTGTGCTTTTTTTTTTTATTCCTTCCCCCTTTTCACCCAGCAGTGTGCTTTCAAATATATATTTTTCACCTGAAGTAGTCCCATGAATGATTTCAATATGGCAGTGATTATTTCATTTTCAGAGATAATGAAGCTGAAGCCAAGGGAATTTAAGTGATTTACTCAGTGTCATGCAGTTATGAAATGTTAGAACTGAAACTTGAGCTCAGAGTTGAAATCTTATGCATGATCTACTACATTTTATATTTCCTACAATAATCAGTAAGTTAAGAAAAGGACATGTTAAAGAGATCGCCCTTATATTTGCCTCTTCCTATCATCAAGGAGAGTTACTAATAAGCTGTGTAATGATCAAGAGGGAGCTAGAGAAGGTAGCTAAGGGTTTCCACATTATAGGAATTAGGTTCTCAGCTCCTATACAATTGAAGGTTTATTTTATTCATGCACATAGAGGGGCTGTTAAATAGAGGGAACAAATGTGTGAATTATAGAAGCACAGTTTTCCTATCTTTGTGGGAACTTAGAGATTAGGGTTCTTCTCAATTTGTGGAAAAGGAACCTGAGAGTCAGTGGTCATAAAATATTTACCGAAGCTGATTAGTTAGTGTCATGTCTGGGTCTAGAACTTGCTAGTGTAGGTTCTTTTCTTTTTGTTGAACAGCTTCCTCTACTATATAAAATGTATTTTCATTTGTAAAGACTGAGATACATTCATTAATAGCAGGAGGTCTTTTATAATTGTAAATAATGTCTTTATGTGTCTTTAAAAATCAGTTGCATGTTTTTAAATAAAAAATTTGATGCACTGGACACTTTGACATTATGATGACAGTCTGTGCTGTCCATTCTACTTGCTCACTGGGTGCATTGTAATTGCCTCACTTATTTTATGACAAATCCTTGAGGATATGCATCTCATTAAAAAGCAAAGGTCTTAGTTTCTAAGTTTAGGGGAACAGAAGGATCTCATTTGGTATTCCTTCAAAATGAGGAATGATTGTCTTTACATGAGGAATTTATACTGAGTTTTCATTATAGCATGTGTATAGTAATTGAATGTAGCATTGTTCTTTTATATATGTTTCCTCTAGGATACATGGAATTTTTTAGGTAATTTTTTCCGCTTGTATGCCCACAATTCTCCATTACCCTACTAAAAATTTGTCTCTTCAATAAGTGAAAATAAAATTTTCAACTTTGTCATCTTTGACATTAATGAAGTTCGTTTTTCTCAATTCATTAGCTCAAGAAAATTTTTGTAGATACTGTTGAAAGCATTTCTTCGCTAGTGCCCAAAATATATGGCTTTCTGTTTTTCAACTGTTATAGATTACCATATTTGAAACGGACTCTGAGGAGCTGCAAGACCTTGACTTAGCGATCCTAACAGCTTTGCTGAAAGGTGAGTGAATAAGATTACAACTGTTCCTCACTTCCTCTTGTCACATTCCATGACACTTTGTGTTTTATTTGTTGATATTTTAAATAAAATATATGATCATTCCTTTCTTTTGCCCTAGGCACAAATTTATCAGCATCTGAACAATTAAATCTGGCAATGGCTTGGGACAGAATGGACATTGCCAAAAAACATATCCTAATACATGGACAACACTGGAAGGTATAATGAAAACGAAGTTATTTGGAAAAAAAATACTTTGTGTGTTGGTTTGTCAGGGAGGGGCAAAAGAGAAAGTTGGAGGAGAGAAAGATTGGATTGGGAAGGGTGTGAGGTAGCATCTCTGGGTACTCAGTGATCTCAAAGACATTTCTCTCATCTACTTTGACTCCCTGAAAACATTTTTTTCCCCTTCTGGCTCTGCAGCCTAATTGAAGCTAACAAAGGAAATTGGGGGAAAGACAGAATGGAAGGACTTTTTATTGTTTTGAATGTACACATTTTTATATTGTTATTTGAAACTTAAAGTTTATCTTATTTTTTGCATTAAAATATAATAAGTGATCAAAATAAAAATTAGTGAAAACAGAAAAAACAGAGAGGAGAAACATTACCTATAGTGATAATGATAATTACTATTAACATTTCATTTTTAAAAATTACAGTTGTGACCATACCATACATATATTATTTTGGGGTCAAACTAATACGTGTACATTGTTTAAAACTTCAAATGGTACTAAAAAGACAGTTGTTCTTTGCCCTGCTAATCCTAAGAGCCAAGTACTTTTGACTTTTTTACTGTCCTGGCATTTATAAATCTTCATATTTCTAACAATAAGTCACATTGCCGTTTTTCTGATTCATCAGTTTTAGAGTTCTTTCAACATTTCCTGTCTGTAGTCCTCATTGCTGTAATCGGGGCTGGTTGCCTGCTATTTTTAGTGCTGGACTGTCATCCTTCATCATGTTAGGGATTTCCTCCTGCGTTAGAGTGCCTGTTTTCTGTATTATGTGTCTTCCTCTTTTTTGGTTCATTCCTTTATTTTGATGGTGTGCATCCTTCAGTAACTTCCTGAGAAAGGGAGGATGGGAGATAAAAATTTTGAGGACTTACGTGTTTGAATATATTTTAAGATTGGAAGTAATTCTCCCAGATACTTTTGAATGCTTAGCTTCTAGTACCCAGCATTCCTGTTAAGAAGTAAAAATCTTTCTGTTTGTGACCATTCTCTCTCCCGCACCCTCAGAAGCTTAAAAAAATCTCCCCTTTTTCCAGTATTCTGAGATTTCACAATGATGCATGTTGTTTGAGTCTTTTATGTCTGTTATGCTGGATGCATGCTTTCAATTTGGCAATCGTGTATTTGCATTCTGGGGATTTTTCTCCCTTTTTCTGGTATCTTTCTGGAATTCCTTTATTTAAATGTTGGACCATGGATTGCTCCTCTTATCTTATTCCTCTTATCTTCTGTATCATTTCTTAGGTAGATTTCTTCAACTTTAATGCTCATACCTTGCAGGTAGCTTTTTGTTTCTGGTAGCATACTATTAATTTCTACAAGCAAATTTTTTCTTTGATTGTCCTTTTTTTTTTAATAGCATCCTAAATACAAATATGTTCTTTTATTTCTGAAACTATTAATGTTAGTTCTTTGGAAGTTTTCATTTTCCTGCATTGTCTGATTCCTCCTAGTTGATGTTTTGTGGTCTGTTTGTTCTGGACTTTTTGTTTAAGTGTGGAGAAGAATAGAAAGCACATTAGAAATTCTGAAACCATAAGTTTGAGCTTCACAGTGGAGTGACCTGCCTGCCATTTGTTGGGGAGCCTGAGATGTCAGCATATTCATGCCTTTTCTCTTCTACAAGTCACAATACCAGAAAAGAATCCTCCAACCCCTGCCTCAAAGACAAAAGCCTGGTTGCTAATGTTTTGGAAGTCAGGTGAGGGAAGATGACTGGGAAGGTCCCGACATTAGGAATTTGGCATGTATGCATGTATTTCATCCTGATACTGCCAGGATTCTGTGTCACAGATTGGTTTGATTTTTGACTTTTTCCAGTTTCAGTTTCTAGGCGTTTTCACTTTCTGGCCTTCTGGAGTCAGCTACGTCAATTACCACTTGACTATCTGCTTTCCAACTTCCAAATATTGCACTCTTTACTTTCTTATTCTTGTGGATTCATTTCTTAAAAAAGAAGAAAAAATCCCTTTACTATAGCTTTAATGGAGTTTTAGGTAGGAGTAACAGTAGATGAGTTTAATTTGCCATTTATATCCAGAAGCCAGGTGTAGTTTACATGGAAACATGCCAAGTTACCAAAAAAAGAAAAGAAAGAAAAAGAAACATTGGATTTTTATTAGAATTGCATTAAACCTGTACGTTATTTTGGGAAGCATTGAGATCTTTACAGTAGTCAATCTTCCCACCCAAGAACCAATTTATTCAAGATGTCCTTTATGTCTTCAAGTTCACTTTTTGCTATTTTTTCACTCAGGCCCTGAACATTTCTTAGAAAGGTTGTATTTTATATTTATTGTGTCTGTATAGTTTTGAGTTCAAATACACGTACTCCTTTAATTATTTCTACTTTCTCTCTTTTTTTAAGATTTTTATTGGGGAATTGGGGGGATGGGAACAGTGCTGGGGAATTGGGGGAGGGGAACAGACAAGTTGCTGTCCTTTTGTTCTTCAGTCTAGTTGTGGAGGACGTTGTTTCACTGGCCCAAGTTGGCACCATCATTGCGCTTTTCCCAGGTGAGGCAGATCAGTCGCCGGCTTCTGGATGGCCGCTTACTGCGGCTGCTGGCCGCTCATGCTGGCTGCTGGCTACATACGGTACATGGCAACCCACTGCCACAGGGGCTGCAGCCTACGCAGTCGCCAGCAACTCGTAGCAGCCCAGCTCCAGGTTGAGCTGTTGTTCAGCATCTTAGCTGTAGAGGGCAGTGTCACTGGCCCTCATATGTGGGATCCGAACCGGGGCCCTCTGACGTCCCAAGCCAGCTCTTAACCACCGCGCCACTCGGCCGGCCCTATTTCTACTTTCTTAATTGTCTCTATATATTTTATTTATTTCTACCCTCTGAAGCCAGGCTCACTGGAACAAGCAATGTACGATGCTTTAGTGATGGATCGGGTGGATTTTGTGAAGCTCTTAATAGAATACGGAGTGAACCTCCATCGCTTTCTTACCATCCGTCGACTGGAAGAGCTCTACAATACAGTGAGTATTGGAACGTTTTATCAATCACCTTTAATATTTATCTTGATTTAGCTTGAATGTTCAAGTCTTCTTGAATGTTCATGTACAAAGATAGCTTATAAAGAGACAGAGTTTTCAACCAAAGGAGAAACAGTCTTATCAATTCCGTTTTATCCTATGGTCATTTCTGTATTTCCCATTATTAATTACACAGAATAGAAGCACAAACTAACTTAAGAAAATATTATAGTAACACCATAATTAATGTCAAAGATGTGAATAAGAACAAATTAGTATTATTGAGTTATTGAAAACATCTTAACCTAAGGCCACTGTTAAAATTCTGTTCCTGAAACTTTCCTATGAAAATCCTTTATGGAAACTAGACTGGCTTACTCATTTAAAAAACAATTGCTTAAGTCATGTACCCTTCTTGAAATGTCCTTCCTTGTCCTTTGAATCTTAACCTTTCTTCAAAGCCCTTTTTGAGTCCTGTCTTCTTGAATACTTTGGTCCACAGTGATCTCTCCCTACAGTACAAATTATCTGCAACTCTTTTTGGGCATATGCATCTTCATATTGTTGGTTAATTTTTTGTATATTAAACTGTCTTCTATTAGACTGTAGAAACTGTCTTCTATTAGACTGTAGAAACTGCAAAGAAAGTACATACTTATATTCTTCATTGATTCTCTCAAAAGCTTGATTGAACGCAGTAAGTGTTAAAGAAATATTTGTTGATGGAATGTGATTGTGTGATGAAATTTGTAATTGTGTGATTTATACAGAGGGTGCCAAAAAATTTATACACATTTTAAGAAAGGAAAACTGTATTAAAATTGTAATACTCAATATATACCAATAACAAAAGAAGAATACAAGTCACGTTTGACTTCTGCAATTACAAGAGGTGCTTAAAATGGTTACCATCAGTGTCCAGACACTTCTGATCACAGCAAACTACTGCTTGAGCAACGTTGACCAAAGTGTCCACTTGTATACCATTTTTTTGCACCTCGGTATGTGATAAAGGATAATTATAAATTAGTTAAAATTTATTTCTGCCTTTAGTGACATAAAGTTAATTAAGTCCTTACTATCTACCTATATATATATCTTGCTTTTGAAGGTATTTCAATATAACTATATCTTTTGGGAAACCCCTTTCTTAGAATTAATTTGGCTTAAGCTTCATTACTAAAGATGTGAAGAAAATTTTCAATATTCTGTATTATTTATGCATTCTGAAATAAAATTTTTTTCCCCAAGCAGATGGTAATTAAAATTCTTCCTTTTGTTCTTTATTATAGAAACAAGGGCCTACTAATATGATCTTGCATCATCTTATCCGAGATGTAAAGCAGGTAATCTAATTATAAAGGTGTGCAAATATCTTTGTGTATTGCCTTAACTTTGTGATGAAGGTGTCACCAGATTTTGCTTTGGAAAAGTAGATTTGGACCTCTGGTGAATTACCTATGCTCTTTACCTGTGGCTGAACAATTTCGTCACCAAACTGTCCTCTTATATTTTTTCCTATAATTCACTTTGTGTTCTTAAAGATTCGATCCACTAAATAAGTGGCATTAGCTAGTAATTATTTTCACTTATAAAATATGAATCAGAGATATGCAAAACTTCTAATCAGAAATTTGGCTCAACGTGATGCAACAGTATTGCCAATGATGATAATTATATCTGTTGAAAATAAAGACATTTCTTGGTTCTGTTTTCTTTATCAGAGGACTAATATGTGATTTCCCTTATTTTTGTTATTATTGTTTGACCATTAGTGATGGCCTGGGGGCTCTCACTTCTTTTGAGGGTCTAAGTATTGTTCTAGGGAACCAGGATGAATCCCACTGCTGTATACCCTTCCTCTATTTTGCTCATTGTGTTCTCATTGAAACTTGAGTTAAGTCACACTTAAAATAATCTGTCTCATTACTTACCCAAACTTCCCAATTTGAACAGATTTTTATGCCTCAATTCCTTCTCTTTTAATTACCCAGAACTTTTATTCATATCTGCAGAAAACTGGGAGTACCTTTTACTTGTCACCATGATTAAAATCCATCCACGGCACCTTTTAAAAGTTCTTCCCTCATTTTTTAGAAGCCTGATACCTTGATGGAATGAGTGTGGGCTTTCTGGTTAGATTGACTTGGTAGGAGAGCCAGAGTGAAAGGACTGCAGAAGAAGACATTCAATTGGCAAATTAGCAGTAAGCCAAAGCATCCATGAGGATGTGCATTTAGTTTGCATTGATTTGTGCTAGATCAAAATAATTTTCCTTAGATTATTTCCTTAAACTCTGATTTTATCATAGAAAACGGAAGAAAAAGGAATGAAATAGGTTAAATATGCTCTTAACTAGCAGCAAATAAGCATAATTTTTGGTGTTCATGGGAAAAAGTAAATTATAAATGTGAAAAAGAAATGAAATCATTTACATATACATATGTGTATCACCTTATTTCTTGTTCAAAGCTTTGTGAACATTATTAATAATCTGTTCATTTCAGAGATGTTGTTCAGCACTCTGTATGCCTTTAAAAATGTCCTGCGAATTGCAGTGCAGAACTAACAGTTTTGAAGAGGTAGTAAGGCGGGCTTTAAGGGGTCAAAATAATTTTCATTTAGATTAAGATCCATGTACTTGGATGTCTGCTGCTCAGCTCTCCTACCAGCCAAAACATTTGTCTTGGTGCAGCTTCATGTTTTTTTTTTTAAAGATTTTATTGGGGAATTGGGGGAGGGGAATAGCGCTGGGGAACCCGGGGGAAGGGGAACAGACAAGTTGCTGTCCTTTTGTTCTTCAGTCTAGTTGTGGAGGACATTGCTTCACTGGTGCAAGCTGGCACCATCATTGCGCTCTTCCTAGGTGAGGCAGATCAGTCTCCGGCCTCTGTGCAGCCTCATGTTTTGATACCTCATTTTGTTCTGCCATTCCATGTTCCTTATTTCTATTTGTTCCGCTTCTTCCCATAATCTTGTTTTGTGTATGATGTGGTCAACACAGTGCAATGTGTTATAGACATTTTAATAAAGAGAGAGGCTGAAGGTTTAACTCAATGTTAATTTTGGATCACATATGTTCAGTATATCTTTCAGTAATTTTACTTCTGCTTATAGTAGATATGTTATTTCCAGTTAAAAACAATCTTTTATACCAAATTTAAATGTATTTTATTCTAAAGTGTGTGTATGCATGAGAGAGAGAAGGAAAAGAGAATGAAAGAACAGATATAAGCAGACATTCAATATCTATGAAACCAAAACTATGTTAAGGCTAAGTATCTGTTCCCATCCGAACAAAGAGATTGTATCAATAGCTGATCATATTAATTGAACAGTTTGTAAAGATGATTGAAAAGTATGAATGCGTGTCTTTGCAGTTTATCTGGTTATGTTCTAATGTCATGGCAAAGGAGATAGAAAAAGAGAACTGAAAGTTACAATTGATTACATGTTTTTGTTTCAGCATACTCTTCTGTCAGGCTACAGAATAACACTGATTGACATTGGATTGGTAATAGAATACCTAATTGGTGGAGCGTATCGGAGCAGCTACACGAGAAAAAATTTCAGAGCCTTCTACAACAGCCTTTACAGAAAACATAAGGTAGCACAATTGGAAAGTACCCTAGTAAAATTAAGGAGTACTACAGATAATGCTTTTTAAAAAATGGCTTGGGAAGTTCAGATGGGGTTTGTTCTAAAATGGACATTCTGTTTATTGACATCTATTCAGTATCTGCTGTACGGAAGGTACTGTGCTAAGTGCTGGCGTACTGGCCTGCGAGGGGCATAAAGACCAGGAGTTTAGAAACTTGTAGAGGAAACATATTTATGAATAACTGGCAATAATACAAAACATCATATAATATGTGCTTTATTGGCATAAAATTTATGTGATGAGAAGAGTTAGAGGTCGAGATGACCAGTTCTTTCCTTTTCTTTCTCTTTTGAAAATACAGAAGTCTACAGCTTAATAGAATTAGATCTATAAACTCATAGTAATCCATAGTCTGAAGATGACAAGCTTGGACAAAGTGTGTAGGGATTGTATTGGAAGATGCATGCAGAGTGTACTTAAAAATACATATTAAACATATTTATTTTCCTGCATAGCTTTGAAAGTCTAGGAATGTAAAATTAGACTGGTTAGATGATTAGCAGAGAAAACATTGCTTGTGTCTTAAAATTTCCCTTACAAATCAGTGAACTAAAGAGACTAGTTCTTATTAGAGGATAATGGAAGTGTTAGAAACGATAGTTTTGGGCATTTTTGGTTGAGAAAAGAGCAGAAACAATGAAAGGTACAGCGCTGTGGACATCTGGGTATGTTTCTGCAGTGACAAGGAGACTATGAGAGGATAGGACTGGAAAGGCAGTTTGGGGTCAGATCACATAAAAAGTTTAGAATATCAAGCTACTTTTGATCTTTATTTATAAAGAATTAGGTGAAGTGAAAACCCAACTTGACTTTAGGAAATGAAAAATCAAAACAGAAAGAAACCCATACCTCACAGAGAAAGTATTCTTTATTGAAATTTCAAAGGCATAGGGATACACTTGAGGTATCAGCTCCTTCATTTAAACAAAATATATCTTACTGTGAGGTTACCAGTGACAGGTACAGGGACTCACTGTGGCCGTGGTGCAGCCCAGAGGGGAGCATACTAGGCAAGTTCCCTAGTGCCCTTTCTAGAAATGAGTAGGAAATTACCCATTTCTCTGATTATTTGCTAGTGAAGGAACACAGAGTTTATTGTGTTTCCTAGTATTTTAGACCATAGCAGTTACAAATACATGGTTTGGAATCAGAGAAACCTGGAACTGAATCTCCATTTTGCTCATTAGTAATCTTCAGCAAGAAATTTTACCTGTGTGTGTATCAGTTTCCTCATCTATAAAATGGGATTAATAATACCCCTTTCATAAATTTATCAAAAGGACTAAATAAAACAATATCTGAAAAACCCATATTCCTGAGTTTTTCATAGAAGGTATAGAGTAACTGTTAATAATAATAGCCATTATGATTATTATTAATCATACTATTAATTCTATAGCTCAATGATAATTGAGTATCTTTAAAAAGTCTTGACCCCATCACTTTTATGTCTAATTTATATCTATAAAACACTCACGAAAAATAAAAAAAATAGTTCAAAGCCTGTGGTTTGTATCTTAAATTTTTATGAAAGTTTCTTTACGAATACTTCTTTTTGATTTTCCTTCTCATTGGTGAAAGTTTCATGCTGATGAGCAACGGATTATGTTGTTAGACCTAGCCACTGGAATTCCAGTGGCGATATTGTATAACATGTGGAGAAATTCCAAAACTTTCTAACTTAACCTTGGAGCTGTTTGTGAATGGGAACGTTTTCTTATCAGAACTGTGTATCTTTATTGCCTGTTCTGAGCTTGTTCCAGGTATGGAACATCCATTGATTCTAATGGAGTTTCCACATAGAGAAGGAATGCAGGCTTATAATAGGGAACAAAAGAGCATGTTTTCTAAGATGTTAGGAAATAACAGTGCACTTACTAAGAAGGAAATCATGAGATTGAGGAGGTCACTCTTTTTGGGTGAGGGAGTAATTAATCTCTGATTAATGATTAATTACTAATCATGGATGAGAGACAGAATCATTGGATATTTGGGAGGACACAGTAATATATGTGGTTTTCATTACTGTCTACAAACATAATGTTAATTGTTACCACTATAATCTTTTTCTCTTTTTGTTTTATTTTAAAAATAAAATAACATATGCCAGAGAGTGACTGGCTTTGCTCAAAGCTTTTCCCAGGCCCCTCTTCACCAGAGATGTGCGTCAGAAAATAGAAAAGAGTCTGCAGAAAGCACGTTGCACTCCCAGTTCATTAGAACTGCCCAGCCTTACAAATTCAAGGTACTTTTCCTTCCTTTTAGATTTAAACCTAAAATTGTTCCTGCATACTGAGACCATTTCTTCATTTGAAATTGGAGAAAGGGTGGTACAAATTGAGGGATCCTTTACAAGTATAAACAGGTGGCGCAAATCCAAAGCATAACACAGCTGTCCTGTAAGCGATGAACAAAGGCCCAGGACAGAGCACTGGGAACTACATGACAGCCGGGGCTGGCACTCCAGTCTACCTTCCTTGTTCCTACTGCCACCATGTCCAGATGGTGTGACACAGGAAGGCAGTCCATGGGATGCCACTAAAAATTGTAATCATTAACCCAACACTGAACCCTTATCTCCCTTTCCCTGAGGCTAATTGGATGTGACTACTTCCTTCTTCTCCTTTACGTCTCTCCATATTGTCCTTTTGCATCTTAGTTTTCCCCTTTGATGCTTTCTTGAAATTAATTTTAGTGTAATATTACCGTATGACAATATGATGTGTGTATGTGCAAGCACACACAATATTGTTATTCCCCCTCTCCCTGTACTACCTCAATCCCACTTTTTCTGGGGGATGAATGCTTTTACTTGAGTTTTCATTAATGGCTCTTATGTTGACTGAAAGAAGTTTGCTTTCCATAGCTTCTACACTGAAAACATGTTTTATAAAATTACCCATAATCATCACCAATGAGTACAAATTCTCTTTATTTGTAGAAATAGAGGGAGCTTATTACAATTTTTTGCTATTTTATTTTGCTTTTAATTAAAAGTAATAGTTATTGAATCTTATTATTTGCCAGGTATTATGTTGGGTGCTTGGTTGAATTTGGGATGCAGGTGGGTTGGGAAAATGTAATGATGACTGAGAAATAGCCCCACTGTCCCCAAAGTAATAACCATAGTGCAGTATGTTGAGCGTTGAAGTTGAGAGACATCCACAGTGATACAGAAGAAGATGGGGGGATAGAGAGTAGCCTTTGAGATAAGCTATAAAGGATGGATTTCTCTAAGGGGAAGATAATGAATCTATTTGTAAGGTGAAGTTAGAGTTTTTAATAGTTCTTCTTTATCCAATGTTATTTCAATCCATTTCCTTGGGAAATTGAAAGTTGCCATATAGTTAGTGGCTCTATTCCAGAAATGCAGTGTTTTGAGTTGTGCTAAAGGAACTTAAAGTATCTCACTTTAGAGACCCTGGAACTATTAGATGCAATAAGAAATAGATTATTTTAAAAGGACAAATTTGTGGTTTCTGGTTTATAAAGTGCTATTACTATTATTTTCATCCCTTTTCAGTGATTTAAAAAGTATTTCTAGGGTATCTGATGTGTTTCATTAGGTAGAGTAGCATGCATCTCAGTATTTGGAAACCCATTCTTATTTTATTTTCCAACAGGAAAAGTCTACAGTCCTTCATAAATCAAGGAAGAAGTCAAAAGAACAAAATTTATCAGATGACCCTGAGTCTACTGGCTTTATTTACCCTTACAATGACCTGCTGGTTTGGGCTGTGTTAATGAAAAGGCAGAAGATGGCCATGTTCTTTTGGCAGCACGGAGAGGAGGCGACGGTGAAGGCAGTGATTGCTTTTATACTCTACCGAGCCATGGCCCGTGAAGCTAAGGAGAGCAACATGGTGGATGATGCCTCCGAAGAGTTGAAAAATTACTCACAGTAGGAGTTCTCTCTTCAATTCATTCTAAACATTGACAGTTCTCAGAATGGTTAGGCACTTTTATCTCCCTCACCTTAGAACTTGGAAGATGAGTGGACCTGTTACAGTGCATTTCATGGACTCTCCTATAAAGAAGGGTCTTTACGTATTTTAAGGAGCTTTGTGAAATGAAAGGAAGAGAGGTGGGCCTTCAAGTCAGGAGACTTGGGTCCTAGTCCTCATCCAGCTGTTTACTAATTGGGGAAGTCAGCTGACCAGATTTTGGGACTTTAGTTTCCTTACTCTAAAATGTTCAGTTAATGATTTTGAAAGTCTCTCCCAACTCTCCAACTCTTTGATACTAAGTTAAATTAAAACTCGTGGTTTACTTTAAGTACCTCTCAGGCAGAAAAACAAATAAATGTATTACGTATTAAATAACCTGAGTGTGACGGTGGAGGACAGAAAAGTTAGAAATGTTTTTGCTTTTTCATTACTTAAGTGTTATTGTAGTGAGGAAAGAAGGGAAGCTAGAATTAATAGAAACTAATTTATAATTTTGATTTACAAAGTTCCAGAAATGACAGTATCTACTTTTTAGAGAAAATCGCTCCCAGAAAATATCTCCAGGTCTGGTTTCTTACTTAAGTTATCTATGCATTTTGTAAAGTCGTAAAAAAAAAAAAAGTAGTCCTACAAGTTTCCTTAATCGCTAGTCAGTTTTGAACAGTATTTTCTGTCAAAAAAATTTTTTTAGGTCTTATCAGGGAGCCCCCAACCAAGCTATAGATAGCCTGTTTTGTGGTGTGGAGTGGCTTTTCCCCACGAATAGCTTAGATACTCTGGGTGTAAACCAAGTCCTATATGCTGCAGTATAAGCCCTCTAGTTCTGTTCCATCAGGAAAGGGAGAACAATCCATTTCCTGAGCAGCAATCCCTTTAAAAAATAGCTTCTGCAAACTGAGGTGATTAAATTGCTGTTCTCGCTTTTGTACTGGTCTTTTCTGCTTCTCCTACCTAATCTTTTTGAATGTTTCTGGGTCTCTCACCTGCTTTTGTTTTCACTGGACACCACTGTGTCATTGCAGACAGTTTGGCCAGCTTGCTCTGGATGTGCTGGAGAGGGCGTTCAAGCAGAATGAGAGGATGGCCATGAAGCTTCTGACCTATGAACTCAAGAACTGGAGCAATTCTACCTGTCTGAAACTGGCTGTGTCTGGGGGATTGCGGCCCTTTGTTTCTCATTCTTGTACCCAAATGCTACTGACGGACATGTGGATGGGGCGCCTGAAAATGAGGAAAAACTCTTGGCTAAAGGTACATTGACTTGCTTTATAGATATTAGTCTAGTCTGAAGGTCTGTACTCTCAGAGTTCATTTTTCCCTTGTTCCAGAAGAGCATCTTCAGGAAACCAGCTAATATCTTTGATGCTCACAGATGAGCTGAGAGATTTCCAGTGGGACCTGACAACTACTTTTTCTCCTGCTACCATAGTTTCTTTTTTAAAAAATGAGGATAATCGTACCAGCTCTGTTCATCACAAAGGCATACGCACATGAAAGTGGTTAGAAGACATTAAAAACATATACAAACATATGCAATATTTCATTAGTAAACTCCATTGCCTCTGATAATTATAACAGAAGTAAATGAGACTTTTAGTGAAATTTTGCTCAGTTTAAGAATACTAACTGATAATAAACTAAATAAAATTAGCAATTTCTGTTGTTCTGCTCATTCAGAGTGATGTTTCAGGGAATAAATAGTGGTTTTATAAAGCTGCTCTCAAATATATTTGTTCACATCCCTATCTCCAAATTCTTCTATTCCATTACACTTTAGCCTCATCTCTCATCTTGAATTATCAAGAGTAATTTAGTTAAATACTAAAGACATATTTGACTTTTGACATCAAACCTAAACTTTAGGTTATAGTTAAGCTTAAGAAGTACATACATGTGCTTATGAAACTGAATAAGAGGGGATACAGCATAAGCATTAAGAACTGTATAAGACTATATTTTGTATTTCAATTTTATTCTTCCTAGAGTTCTTAAAATATGATGTGTTCCAAATAAGATGACTATTCTTAAAATATATATTTTTGATGGACACACTATAGAAACACAGATAAAAAAACAAGATAAAAATATATAAAAGAGCTTGCACGTTTTAATTTCACTGAGAGTACAGAAATAAGAGAAAAGTCAATCAAAATTTATTCCACATAGATTCCTCTTTGAAAATATCAGAGAAAGAACAATTGTTTCTAGAAGAAGTTCTCCTTTGATCTGCTTTGATTTTGGACTTGGAAATGATGAAACAGAGATGTGAATGGGTCCACCTCTAGCTACACAAACTCTAACAATAACTTTTTAAAATGTTCAGAGAGAGAGATGGGGTATAGCTAGCTAGAAGTATGAGAAATAATTTTCCACATGGCTGTGTCCTATGCATACTTTAGTTTACTAGAAATCCTTCTTACTAAGAACTTAATAACTTTTTGGTCCTTATTTACCTTATACCAACAAACTTCACGTAAGTGAAGCAAGACTAAATGTTTTGCTCCCAAACATAGTGAATTGACAAAGAAGGCTTAATTAGCTACTTAAACTCTCTGCACTGCAGTAAACCGTATTGCTCTCCATGCACAGATCCTAATTCATCAGTGCTTAGCTCATGAGTTTTGGGAACACATTTGCAAATAATTGTAAGATGTCCTGGTTAGGCTAGTTTCAAGTGGATGAAGACTGGAGGAAGACCTTGTAGGGTTATGTGGAAAGGAAAACTCATTTAAATGTTTTTAGGGTAATAGGCTCCAACTTACCCCTTGGAAATGGGATATTGATATTATTGAATAGTGTTTCACAAACCAATTGCCGTAATGGACATGAGCAACAGAATGTGGAGCCTTTTCAGGAAGCGGGTTAGGAATTAGTGTAATATTACTGTGTGTCTGGTAACTATGATTTTTCCAGACAACAGAACATTGCATGTATTTTGAGCTTTACATCTGAAAAGAAAATGAACATGCAAACAAATCCCTATCAGAACTGGTGCAAGTCCAGAGGGCCTTCACAGGAGGTCAGGCTTTAAAACAAAACAAAACAAAAGGTGATTTCAGCATGAAAATAAATGAATGTTGACAAGGGTATGACTCTGATTTATTTAATCATAATGGTATGTATTCAGGATTAATCCTATTTTATTCACTGAATCCGAGAATACTAAGGCCTGATTTTAGCTTGAGAGGGGTGGTGTTCAGCAAGTTGGTTTTCACAACATTAAGTAAATTTTCTTAACCCTTTACCTTGAAAGGCCATACAAGTTGAACATAAAAATTTTTTTTGAATAGACTGTAAATAAATTAGTGAATGATAACATTATAATGAGAACATTGTGGATACCTGGATTTATACTTTCTCTGGGTTTTAGTGGCAGAAAATATTTGTGTAGGATGGAAGATGGATCTAACAAAAAGTGACACTTGGTATGTTTCTATATTCTTGATTTTGTAATATGAGTGAATTTTAATGTTTATGTGATAATATCTACTTCATGGCTTTAAAGAATTATTACAGTAACATGCTCATTGAAATACAATGCTTCTCACTGCCCTGCCCCTAGGGATAAATAACAGTGTGGCACAGCAGTCCCTCCTTATCCACAGGGGTTACATTCCCAGGCTCCTAGCGCATGCCTGAAATCTCAGATAGTACCGAACCCTATGTATACTATGTTTTTTCCTATATATACATACTTATGATAATTTTTAATTTGTATTTTAGGAACAGTAAGAGATTAACAACAATAACTAATAATAAAATAGAACAATTATAACAATATACTATAATAAAAATTATATGGATGTGGTCTTCCTCTCTCAAAATATCTTGTTGTACTGTATTCCCCTTTTCATTTAAAGGAAGCACTTTACAGCTTCTCTTTGACATATCCAAATGGTCAGCATGACTATTCTTGTGCTTTGGGGCCATTATTCAATAAAATAAGGGTTACTTGAAAACAAGCACTGGGATACTGAGATTGTTGATCTGATAACCGAAATGTCTACTGTTTAATGGGAAGGTAGTGGATACGCGGGACAAAGGGATGATTCGTGTCCCCAGGGGGACAGAGTGGGATGTTGTGAGATTTCATCACATTACTCACAATAGCCCACAATTTAAAAGTTATGAATTGTTTATTTCTGGAATTTTCCTTTTAATATTTTTGGACCATGGTAGATTGTGAGTAACTGAAACCATGGAAAGCGAAACAGTGGATAAGGGGGGGGGGGGAACTACCATATACACATTTAAAAATTTTAAATGTATACATGTGTATGCATATTTATTTTTTAGTTTTCTTTTTTTTTTTTACAAAAATGAGATCACACTGTATTGTTCTACAACTTGCTCCTTTTCATTTAACAATGTAACGTAAATACTTTTCCATAATATTCAAAATTGCTTTTGTGTTTCTAATGGTTGTATAGTACTCCAAACTAGGTTGCGAGTTATGTTGTCCCATACCAGCTGTTCCTCTAAAGGTAGACATTTAGGTTTATACCTGTTTTTATCTATTACAAATAACCCTACAACAAACATCTCTATCCACATTTGTTTGCGTTCATGAGTATTTCTGAGGGGCACACTTCTAGAATTGGAATTGTTGAGTTAAAACTATGTAAAGAATCAGGATATCAACTGAATTGGTGATGGATCTGATATTTTATATACACTAAAATCTTAATTTTGTTATTTGAGTAGTACCTTGTGTAATCCCTACTATTTATTTTGCTTTGTTTTCTTTTAAAGATCATCATAAGTATTCTTTTACCACCTACCATTTTGACATTGGAATTTAAAAGCAAAGCGGAGATGTCGCATGTTCCCCAATCCCAGGACTTCCAGTTTACGTGGTATAATGGTGACGAGAACCCCAACAGTGTCAAAGAAAATGCTTGTATGGTTAGTGCAATATTATAGTAAACTGAGTTTTCATGGCATTGACTGTACGCAAACATACACATACAAAAAGTTTATTTGTTTAACAATTTATTTAATAATCTTAATCACATTATAGTGTGATTGGGTATAGCATGTATGATAGATCTAATTAACCGCCATAGAGGTTAAGCAACAGATTCCATTTCTGCCTCAAAACCAAAATCAAAGACTTTATTATACTTTGACAGCTGCTTAACTTCATATTGCTTTGTGACTAGTAGAATAAATAGACTAAAGCTACAATAAGGAGTGTCTGATATCCTTAAAAACTTTAATTATAATAACACAGATTTAAAATTTGCATTGATTGTCACTGTTCTACTCCACATTTTTTTTTAGTTGTTATATTCAGTGACTGAATAGTTTTACTTGAGTTCCCAGGTGTACACTCTTTTATGGGTAACTTCCATTACTTCTCTCATAACCCATCTTCACTGGAGAGTCTCCAGTATGCTGTCTGTGGATATATGGTTTACTTTTTATATCTCAGTTTGAATCATTGCTTATAAAATGGTCATTTACTGTGAGTAAACATCTTATTTAGTACTTAATACTTTAATGAGGCATTTTAGCTAGCATCTTGTCTGATGTGGTTTTGCACTTATGGGATATTTGTTATAATATTTTAAAATATCTGATAAATATTAAATGAAAAATTATTAATTATAAATTTGTTTTAATGGCTGGCATCTGTTGTGATTAGTTGAGCATCGATTCTGATTGGTTAATGCCTCAACCAGATCAGTTAAATTTTTGACTACTATACCTGTTTGGGTATGTATGTGTTCCTTTCTTCTCCCTTACCTCCCTCCCTCCGTTCCTCCCTCCCGCCATCCCTTCCTCCCTTCTTTCCTCCCTTCCTCCCTTTTCTAGATCTGATAATTCCACAGCAAGCAAATAACTTTCCTTGAGAAGTTTAAATCTTTCTAGCTGCTAACCTCCCAAAAGCATGACTTTTGATGACATGAGCTTTCTTTAGTAAGATGATAGAATGGCTACACTAGGGGAAGAAAAAGACTTTTCTCACTGGGGATCAGGAGGTAAGGATTAGGGACTGGAGACAGCTGCATGAATGAGGTGGTGTTTGAACTGTGACTTGAGGATGTGGAGAGAGGAACTAGCATTTTGGTGGGGGAGAAGACAGGCAGGAAACGCAAGGCTTATGTCAAGCATTGTAAGTGGTTTGGCTAAAATCCAGGTAATGGTGGACATGGGACAAGGAGCAGATATGGCTAGAAAGTAGAGTGTAGCTAGATCATGGAGACTCTTATATAACTTATGAAGGGATATGGTTTTTATTCTGTAGGTAATGGTGAGCCGGTGAACATATATGACCAGAATAGCAACATGATCTGACCATTAGGAAAATTATTATGCCTCTAGTGTATTCGATGATGTAAAAAAGAAGGCTGGCTTGAAGCAGACAGAGAATAAGCTAGTCTAACTATCCAGGTGAGAAGTAATAAGGATTTTATTTAGGGTTAGTAGCAATGGGCGCAGAAAGGAAAAGACAGATTTTAAGCAAATATTCAAATAGGACTTGAACATGAGACATGGGTGAAAGGGAGATAGCAAATATGATTGAGAGGTTGATGGTTAAAACAAGGCCATCTTGAAAGGACACAAGGATCACTGGAAAAAGAAAAGGTTTGAAAGGGGAAAGATAAGCTTAGTATTAGACATGTTGACAAATTACAATGAAAAAATATTTTAAAAAGTTGAATAATAACCTATTTTATTAAAGCATCATTAAGTGGGAAAGATGACTGTAATACAATAGAAAATAGGCATGAATTGTGGTAGAGCTTATTGTTGTAGTTATAATTTTGTTCTGTGTGCCTGCTTGTATCAGATTCCTATTAGAGAGAGAAAAAGAGAAGGGAGTGTGGAGATGGGAGAGGAGAAAGGAAGGAAGGAAGGGAAAGAGGGAGGTAGGAGGAAGGAAGAGAGAGAGAGAAAGATAGGGATTGAGATTGAGATTTGAGTAGAATAAAAGATAAGAAAAATATTTTTGCGTTTACCTTCTTCTAAGGAAAACAAAAAAGGCCTGAATCTGAATTTATATTTCCATGCTGCCTTCGTCATGGCAGTTGATATCTTTGAATTCAACTCAGAGATAGGCTCAATTAGTACTTTATGACCCATACCAAAATGCCAACTGTAATTAAGACCTAATGAAACAGTCTTAGAAAAAATAGTAAGGGAAGTTACTTAATGACAAGGTCATTACTTAAATTGCTTTTTGAGGTCTTTCTGTAGTGGTACTGATGTCACTAAAATCATAGTAAATAATGACTTTTCTAATTCATTTGAAGCCATTTTAACTCTAGGCAGGTTCAAACCTGTCAGGAACCGGGTCAGTTCCTATACCCCTAAGTTACAATCTCACTTCTACTGCCCAAAGTGACATGAATGATATTTACATTAGGCATTGAGAGAACCCATCTAGATGCCAGAGGCCTCAAAAATTAGATCTTCCTGCAATTATATGGACAATGAAGAAAACTTGATTTATTTCTTGGCTTGAAAAATCTTGCTAATCATGTGGGCCTAACACTAGAGAGAGATCTTTTGTGGCTAGGTTGAAGAAATGTACTAGTCTGAGAGTCATCAGAGAATATTCCTTTCTTTTCATTTAATTTGAAAAAAAAAATCACAAAAGTAACTCATTTCCTGTTTAAAAATTAAAAACACAAAACTCTATAAAGTAGGGTGAAATCTCTTTTGCTTCTTTTTCACCATTCCTAAGTTTCCCCTTTTCAAAAGCAATCAGGCTATACAGGTGTTTTTTGTTTTGTTTTTTTCTTTCCAATTATTTTTTCCCCTCTTTTTATTTTATTTTATTTTTTCGAGCTGAGCCATCTTGCCACCTGTTGGCAGCTCAGCAGCAGCTCAGCTTGGGCATCAAACTCCAACCCTATTGCTTAGAGCTCGTACTCTTGAGCAAGCTCTTAACCAACTGAGCCACTCAGCCGGCCGTTTTCCCCCTCTTTTTAAAGGCTCTTCTATATGGGCACCCATGTAGTCACGTTCACACAACCACTTCTCTGTCACACAGATATCCCTTACTTATCACCTACAAAGGGTTAATCCCTTTAGGCTGACATATAACTTTCTGAGAAACTGATCAAAGATTTGATGCTTTACCTAGAAAAATGCGTGTACAACACAAATACTTGCATATAGTTGCAGGAGATTCCAGGACTCTGGAGCTCAGCGTCCGTGAACTTCAGGTAAAGAACCTCTGCTATAAATGAATAGAGAAGCTATCAAAGCCAGAATCCTAAAACTAACACTGTGCCCAACTTTCCTATGGGTTGGAAAAGATGTATCACCAATGGATTTCCATTCTGTCCTATATTATGGAAATTATTATTGGTTATTGATCTTACAGGGGTTTTATGAATATCTTTAGGTTCCAAAATAGTGATAAAAGAAATTAAACCAAACAGGAACAGGGACCATTTTAAAATCCTTGGAACTACTCTTAGTTTAACCAGGTTTGATTATTAGAGATTTAACTTGCATTTCAGAAATACCCTGTGCTACTTACCCGGTCAAAGATTTATATAATACATATTGTTTTCTTGCCATTCAAGAATGAGATTATAATTTGGCAGGTGGGTGCTCAACTAATTTCTAATATATATATTATATATATTTATGATTTTTTTTGGATACTCGTAAATGTCAATATTTCAGTTAAGCCCCTGACAAGAAATGATTATTTGTTTATTTTACAGAAAGACCGCGATATGGAAAGGGGCCCTGATGAGAAACTAGATGAAAATCAGCACTTTGTTTTAAAGAGTGGTCCCCAAAGTCTTCCATTGACCAGGAAAGTCTATGAGTTCTACAGTGCTCCAATTGTCAAGTTTTGGTTTTATACGGTTGGTTTCATTGCAACAATTCATGATAGTTAATAGCCAATGATAACATTGATAATGATATGCCTGATTTGCCAACTTGTGATAAAAGGTAGAATTGCAGTAAAAAATAGGGTGAATGACAAAGGAGGTAGGAAAGAAGATTGGAGGGAGGCGAGTAAAGGTTAGAACAGATCTCTGCTACTTTGGGAGTGAGAGAATGAGCATTTTCTTCTTTCTTTAGTGCTTCTCATTAGCAAGCTTTGTGGCACAATAAAATTAACAACGGAGTTGTAGAATTAAGTGATTGGGATGGATTCTTTTCCCATCTTGGACAAAAATATTAGCAGTTTAGTCGATTTTTTCTTTGTAGGAATACTGTGTAATAGAGGCAAAAAAACCAAGCGATTGGTTTTTGTTTTCAGTTCATATGCTTATAAATACGTATTTAAAGGACAATAAAAATTATACAAGTTGAATTGTATGAATAAATACTAAATCTGTTATGGATATAGAGATACAGAGAAAGCATGAACTGTATTTTAAATAAATTGAGTGCTTTTTATATTTATTTAATAGCATTATTTTTCTAATGTTTAGCTGTAGTTAAATTGCTCATGGCCAAGATTTTGTATTTCTAAAACATTTGAATTGTGACTAAAAAGGATTATCTGAATGTGTTATATTTCAAACTATTTACTTACCCAATCACACACTTATTTCATATACTTATTGAATACATACGACGTTCTGAATGACTTTCGTCTGTTCTCAAAAATCAAATCTCCTTTCAAATGATCAATTTCACCATTTTTGTGACTATGCACCAAAGTATCCCAGAGACTCTAATAGTAACTCTGAGAGAATTTTAACCATAGCCATGTCGTTGGGAAAGGAGTAGTCAAGCATTTCTTTTCTTAGAAATTTCCAGGGCTGGCCTAGTGGCTCATTTGGTTAAGAGCTCACTCAAGAGTGCAAGCTCTGAGCAATAGGGCCACCTGTTTGATTCCAGGTCCGAGCTGAGCTGCTGCTGAGCTGACAACAGGTGGCAGGATGGCTTAACTAAAAAAAAAAAAAAAAAAAAAAAA